TAAACTGTGAGGCATTTGTGAGCTTTTCTATGGAGAAAGTCTTGTCACTCTGCCACAACCTGTCTGCCAACTTTGATACAGTATGTGAACTAGAGGCCCCTTGGTCACCTTTGGATTCAATATTTGACAACTTCAACCAGCTCTCTGAGGCTGATGTTTTTGTTTTTTTGCTATATTTGTTATTTTTGGTCTAAATGCTGATGTTGACAGGATCCTGAGTGCTGCGAAGCCAACCACTTTTCTCATAGACCCGTGTCCTTCATGGTTGGTGTGAGTTGTTGGTGAGGATATATGGGGCTGTCTGCTGGACATTATCAATCTGTCCCTTAGTTTAGGGGTCTGTCCAGAGGGCTTAAAAGAGGCAATGGTAATACCACTCTTGAAGAAACCATTGCTGGATTTTTCTGATCTGACCAATTACCACCCAGTTTTGAATCTTTCTTCCTGGGTGAGGTAATTGAGAGAGTGGCAGCTGAGCAGTTCCAGAGCTTCCTGGAGGATATATCGGCACTAGACTCCTTCCAGTCTGGCTTCCACCCAGGTCATGGAACAGAGATTGTGCTAGTTGCCCTCATGGATGATCTTCACAGGCAGTTGAACTGAAGCAGGTTGGCTCTGATGTTATTGCTAGACTTGATAGCGGTGTTTGACACAGTCGATCACGATCTGCTGGTTTACTGCCTTGCCGACCCTGGAGTACATGGGACTGCCCTGAAGTGTGTTGTCTCATTTCTCCATGGTTGGTGACAGAGGGTGGCATTGGGAGAGAGGGTCTCTTCTTGATAACCCATTGTATGCAGGGTCCCTCAGGGGGCTATCCTCTCTCCAATGTTATTTAAAATCTATACGCACCCTCTTGCCCAGCTGGTGCAGAGTTTCGGGTTGGGATGCCATCAGTATTCTGATGACACCCAGCTGTATCTCTTGATGGTTGGACAGACACTGCCCCAAGAAATTTGGCTGAGGGTTTGGAGGCCATGGTGAGGTGGTTGAAGCAGAGCCAAAACTGAATCCAGGAAAGATGGAGGTTCTCAGGTTGGGTGGAGGAGATTCAGGTTTGGGGTGCCAAATCATAGAATCATAGTGTTGGAAGGAGACCTCCAGGGTCATCTAGTCCAACTCCCTGCACAATGCAGGAAATTCACAAATACCCCCCACACCCCCAGTGACCACTATTCCATGCCCAGAAGATGACAAAAACCCTCCAGGATCTCCAGCCAAACTGGCCTGGAGAAAAATTGCTTCCTGACCCCAAAGTGGTGATCAGCATTTTCCTGGTTTTGTAAGAAAGGGCCACAAGAACTAAGCACTGATGCAGCCCTTCCTGCCCTCCCTCTCATGATCTGCCCAAGTTCACAGAATCAGCATTACTGTCAGATGGCCATCTAGCCTCTGTTTGAAAACCTCCAAAGAAGGAGAGCCCACCACCTCCCGAGGAAGCCTGTTCCACTGAGGAACTGCTCTGTCAGGAAGTTCTTCCTAATGTTTAGCTGAAAACTCTTTTGATTTAATTTCAACCTGTTGGTTCTGGTCTGGCCTTCTGGAGCAAAAGAAAACAACTCTGCACCATCCTCTATATGACAGCCCTTCAAGTACTTGAAGATGGTTATCATATCACCTCTCAGTCGTCTCCTCTCCAGGCTAAGCATATCCAGGTTCTTCAATGTTTCCTTATAGGATGGTCTCCAGACCCCTCACCATCTTTGTTTCCCTCGTCTGGACACGTTCCAGCTTGTCTATATCCTTCTTAAATTGTGGTGCCCAAAACTGAACACAATACTCTAGGTGAGGTCTAACTAGAGTAGAGTAAAGCGATACCATCACTTTGCATGGTCTGGACACCAATGCTCCCTCTAAGCTGTGGAGTCTTGTGAGCAAAAATTCTACTTTGTGAGCTACTGGCATTAAAGCTGTGAGTGAGCAATTTGGCTACTGCATAAAGTAGTTTGCTCTTGAACCATCTTTCCTGAGCTAAGACAAAAAAGTGTGAGCTGGACACTAAAAACTTGTAAGCTAGCTCACACTAACTCAACTTAGAGGGAACACTGCTGGACACGATATTTTTGTTGATACAGCCCAAAATCACACTTACCTTTTTAGCTACCACATCACACTGCTGACTCATATTCATTGTATGGTCTACTAAGACCCCTAGATCCTTTGTGCACATCCTACTGCCAAGACAACCTTCCTCCATCCTATAACTGTGCACTTGATTTTTCCTACCTAAATGCAGAACTTTACATTTATCCCTGTTGAAATTTACTTTGTTTCAGCCCAGTTTTCCAACCTGTCAAGATCATCCTGTACCCTGACCCTGTCTTCTACCCCTCCCAATTTAGTTTCGTCTGCAAATAAACGTTCCCTCTATCCCTTCATCCAAATCATTCATAAAGATGCTGGACAAAACAAGTCCCAGAACAGATCCTTGAGGCACTCCACTTGTCACTCCTCTCCAAGAGGATGAAGAACCATTAACAAGCACTCTTTGGGTGCAATCTGTCAACCAGTTACAGATCCACCTAACAGTAATAGGATCCAAACCACATTTTACCAACGAGTCAATTTATTTATTTATTTATCAAATTTATACCCCACCCGCCCGGCTGAGGCTGGCTCAGGGCGGCTTACACAGAATAAGACATATAAATTACAGTTAAAACAGTTTTAAAACCAACTAAAACCATCTAATAATGTACTAGTAAACATTATGTTATTTAATGATGGCAGCCATTTTTAGTGGTCCCTTCTCACAGTCAGCTCGTAGGTCTTTCCTTTAGGCGTCTGGCACAGGCAACAAAGAATATTATGTGGAACCTTATCAAAAGCCTTACTGAAATCAAGATAAACTATGTCTACAGCATTCTCCTGATCCAGCAAGGTAGTAACTTTCTAAAAAAAAAAGAGATAAGGTTAGTTTGACATGACTTGTTCTTGAGAAACCCATGCTGGCTCTTATTAATCACAGCCATGCTTTCTAAATCCTCAAGGACTGCCTGTTTGATGATTTGTTCTTAAATGTTCCAGGTATAGATGTCAAGCTGATGGGTTGGTAGTTACTCAGATCCTCCTTTTTCCCCTTCTTGAAGATGGGGACAACATTTGCCTGCCTCCAAACTTGTGACACCTCACCTGCTCTCCAAGAATTCTCAAAAATAATGGACAGAGGCTCAGAAATTACAGGCGAGCGTGATAGTCTCTTTTAATATGCTCTGGGTTGTGCTGGGTGATATCATTTGTTCCCATATGGGTGAGCAAGAAGGGGTAATAATCTGTGGGCTTGATGAGTCTTCCTACCCTTTCTGTCACACCCAGTAGACATCATACCTCTTGAAATGACCAGTCTGGTCGGCACTCTTTATCTTCTACCTCTCTCAGTAGGGAATCCCCAATTACCAGCACATGCCACCTCCTATACTGGGGAGCAGAAGCTCGAGTCCTCTCATCTACGGGGGCCTGAGAAATTTCTTTCAAGCTTCATGGAGGCTGGAGGAGAAGCCATTGTTCCAGTGGTTCAGAATCAATATATCTGGGGAGATCCAGAAACCGATTGCTTAGTAACAGAGGCTCAGAATGTCTCTTGATTTTCCTGCTCCTGTGATCATTTGCCAGTATGTCCAATGGACATACTCCCCCAAACCCCACCTCCCTGCAAAAACATCGAGTCTGCCCACTGCATTGGCTCCCCCCCAGCCATTGACTCTGGGAATCTCTGTGATCCCCTGCCCTCTCAGTGTTACAGATGCCTTGCCCCTGAGTGACAGAAGCACCCCCTTCCTAAAGCAGACACACAGTTATGAACTTCATTCATTCACTCTTTTTATTTCTGACCTTTCTCCCCCAAGTGGCTTACATCATTCCTCTCTCCTCCATTTTATGCTCACTACAACCCTGTGAGGTTGGTTAGGCTGAGGGTGTGCATCTGGCCCAAGGCCATGCATGTAGCTTCCATGGAACAAATGGGGGATGGAATTTGGGTCTCCCAGATCTAGTCTTGTGTTCTAATCATCACACCAAGCTGGCTCATTCACCCAGACCACCTTGTAGTCCCTCCCCCCCCTTTACACAGAATCCTGCAAAGTGAGGGAGGGAACCTCTTGTTAGGTCAGCTTTGGAGGTGTCGCTGGGCCCCTACTTCCTGAGCTCCTAACTGGTGAGGCTGCAGGGGCAGTGGGACAACGTGTGTTTTCAGTTCAATTGGTGCCTATGGGCCACACCATTTTTGTGTGGGTATAACGCTCTGCTTCCCCGGCTGAAAGGACTCAGGGAGCCATGCCCCCAAACTGCCCACAAACACTCTGGCGCAGGGGCCTACACCTTGGTTGCGCCAACAGGCAGCTGCTGGGACCATCTGCTGGCGGCCAAGAGTGATGGAATGATGCTGGGCACCTGTGCCATCATAACTGGCCCTTAACGCTGATGTATCTTGGACATATGCTGACTCAAAGGTCAGTTGGCTCCCTGTGCGCTCCCCCCCCCCCCGGATTGTGCTGTTAATGGCTTTCTAATTTTATTGCTTTTATTGATTTTTGTAACTGAAAAGTGTCTTAAATTATTATGGATAATATAAGTATTGAGAGGTTAACTATATGCAAAGAATGTTTAACCAGCAAAGGAAGAGCCACTGGGTGGATGGTGGCAATTGGAACTGGGGAACTGAGAGTGGGAAAAGGGTTAAGAGCTGCCTCCCTTTCGTGCTGCATTTATTTTCTAATTTATTCACTCCTACAGTGGCTTTGCTTTTTTCCTTAGGAAAGGATTTGGCAAATTTCTGTATAATTAGACATAGTTTTCTAAAAATACTTCTCTCTGTAGGTCTTCCATATGTGTCAGTTGTACTGCTTTTATTGTGCCTTATGGAAGCTCATGGCAGTCTCCGGATAGTCAACGAAATGTCTGATTTGTAGGCTGAATTTGTCTTGTGAGTTTCTTTTCATGCTGCCTCTTTTCATTGCTTGAATAAAACAAAGCGATCAAAACATTATTTCTTTTTCTTTTAGCTGTCTCCGTAATGAGGTACAGCGCTTCATCATTTGGATTTGCGGTAAGTAATCTCATGGCCGATGACTACATTGCAGGAGTTCTTGAAATTAGACCATGAATTTTTCTCCATTATTGCAAGTGTTGGTGGTCATGAGGGCCAACATTTCACAACTGATGGATTTTGCTTGAAAGGAGGGATGCAATGTGAAGTTGTGCTGGAAACTTCTCATGACAGAAGAATCGTTCTCTCTCAAAAAAGGACACACGAGACAGGTCTGAAACACTTATAAATGTGGTTGTCTCTTGATTTTTTTAAAACAAAAGAAAATACATGTATTACATAAAAAGGGATAGCATTAGAGGCAAAAATCTTTTGTCTGGATCTCTGGGATGGTTGCAATTTAACAAAAACCATAGTCTGGCACCATGAATGAGCCCACAGAAAAAAAAAGTATAGCATTACACTTAGTTCACTGGGCTTAAAAGGGTGTAACTCTGGTTAGGATTAAGTTACTTCTGAACCAGCAAACTATGGCCTGTGAGTCTTCTCCAAGCCAGGTATGCAAACTATTTGGTTTTCAGTTCTGATTGGGATGGGAAGTTCGATACATATTTCAGATGTAACATTACTTGTGGTAAATTAGATATTGTTAGTTACCATAAGAGTGAGAAAAAGAGAAGAGAGTACAGAGTTTATTCATGCATTACTAAACCATCATCTGTATCTGAATCACCCCAATAGGGTCTATGGTCATCTGCTAAAAAAGAAGAGCAGAAATCATCAATGTTTAAACGAATTCTAATCCCTGCTTTTATTTAAATGAATTATACAGGGCTTCTGTGTTGGGCATGTGGCATAAAATGTTGCTTTCAATGAAGTTGTTTTAATAGCTGCCCCCAAACCAAATACTTATGTATCTTTTACAGTTTGACGCCACTTTGGACGTTTTGTCATCTGTGATAGTTCTGTGGCGCTACAGTAATGCCGCCGCCGTACATTCAGCGCAGAGAGAATACTTGTGAGTACTTGTGGCTACTTTTAGCTGTTATAAAATCTATGAGAAGATGGATCAAGAACATGACGCCTGTTCAGTGTCAAATGTCTCATCTCTTTACTTTCATTTATTTAAATTGTCTGTGTGTACACATATGGTGGAAAACACAAATCTCACACCAAAACACAAGTGATTGATAGAATCTCGGGTAAGTCAGCAATGTTTTTATATAATTAAGGATACTATTGCTAAAGTTCTAAGCTTGCACTGATGCAGTGTTGTTCCACATCTTAGAAGCACTCTTTTCAAACCCTTATGCCATCCTATTAATAATAGTTGGTGACACTGATTCTTTTCTGTCCAATAGTAGTTAGCTGAATGCGCTTTACTGTGTCAAACTGCAGACAACAAGGCAGTCTGAAAATGTGCTCTGTGTGTATGCACATCAAAGAAAAAAATATGTGCACATTTCTGTGAGTGTGAGAGTCGTTTTCCATACTGATTAACTGCAGTGTGTGATAAATTGTACATTATTTTTTTGAGGGGAAAAGGGTGAGATGCTGTGATGGAGATTGGTATAAATGACACAGAAACCCAGTATGTTTTTCTAGTTGAAATGTTTTGGTGCCTGATTTGATTCTCTGAGTTTGATTTGATTTTCTAAGTTGTCTTTTGATGGTTTTTGTGACCATAATAGGAGTAGATGAGAAGAGATAGAGGCCCCATTTAGAGCTGGGTGAATAACAGGCCAACATTTTATTAACCATATTTCTAACTACAAAGACAGGCATGGGTGTGGACCTTAATCTGCTGGGAAGCAGTGGTCATAATACCACAGCCCACTGCTGGTTTAACTTGAAAGAAGGACTGGCACACAGAGGCCTGATGCAACTGGGTCCCCATCTTCTTAGCCATTGCCTGGAGGTATGGATGAATGTCATTCCAACGGCTGGATTGGTTTTGTGTGTTCACCCCCCCCATGGCCCTATGTCGTTGTTTCAGAATTCTACAACCTGCTCACCTTTCTGTTCACATCTGAAGCTAAATCACTACTTGTGATGATAACCATCCTTATTCTATTTTCAAAACTGTTTTTTTCTGTGCGGATACTTATTTCCACCAATAGGGGCTCACTCTCCCCCAACAGCTTTTCCTACATAGTTAATAGACTTACTGGGTTTGTAGAAAAATCCAAAAACTAAAAAAAATCCTTCAGGGATGGCTGAATTCCCCCCAAAACCTTTTGAAATGGCCTCTGCTGGCCTTTCCAGGCCTATTTTGGCCTTTCAGGGAGGGAGGCTTGGGGCCAGACCTCACAAGAGTTGCCAGTGCCAGGCTGGGGGATTTCTAGAGATTTTGTGATGGACTCTAAGGAGGGCTGGGTTTGGGAAGGGAGAGGTCTCAGCTGGGTATAATGCCACAGAGTCCACCCTCCAAAGCAGCCATTTTCTGCAGGGAGACAGACCTCTGCTGTCTAGATTCCAGTTGTAATTCTGGGGGGTCTCCAGGTCCCATTTGGAGGTTGGCAACTCTAGGCCTGGCAGTAGTCTAGGGTTGCCAGGTCCCCCCTGATTTGCATGACTCACCTAGCCTTGGCTTAGGGTTGCCAACCTCCCCGGTTTGCCAGGGGTCCCCCATTTTTTTGGGGGGGGGGTTCTACCCTCCACCGGCCAGATAGCCAGCGAGGGAAGGCCCACCCCCAACACCCACAGCCACCCCCCTCTCTCCCTTTAAGTGTGTGGAACCCGTGTTTCCTCCCAAACCTGATCTCCGCAAGCTTGCAAGGAAATGCCAGCTTCGTGCTCTTAAAAGGGAAACGTGGCTGCTCTTAAAGGGGAAACGCCAGCTCCTGCATTTAAAAGGGAAGCGCCGGCTCCTTTAAGTGCAGGGAACTGCCATTTCTGGAGATCTGGCGTGCGGGTGGGTGGGTGGCGGATGTCCCCAACGTGACATTATCACCTCGGGATGCCCTGCCCCCTCCAGGAACATCCCCAAAGTCCCCCGCTGGGGGTGGAAGATGGACTTGGCAACCCTACCTTGGCTGCTTGCTACCGTTCATCAGCAGCCACCCTATGAAAGCCAGTGAGGTGCAGCAGTTAGAGCTTCAAAGTAGGGTCTGCAAGACCCAGGTTCAGATCCCCATCTTGCAGTGGAAGCTGACTGCGTGATTTTGGACCAGTCACATATTTCAGCCTAACCAACCACACAGGGTTGTTGTGCAGTTAAAAAGGAGGAGGGAATAATGGAAGCTGCTTTGGTCCCCACTGTGGAGAAAGACTGTAATTTTCCTAGGTAGAGGCTGGGGGGTGGAGATGGAAAGCAGAAGACAGAGAGGCAGATAAAGGTAGGTTGGTGTTGGGTGGGAAGGAAATAGTGTTGCCAACTCCAGGTTGGGAAATTCCTGGACATTTGAGGAGTGGAGCCTGGAGAGGGTGGGATTTGAGGAGGGGAAAAACTTTGGACTGGTAATGTCATAGACTCCACCCTCCAGCCATTTCCTCCACAAGAACCACCATTGCCAGCCTCCAGGTGAGGACTGGAGATCACCCAGAGTTACAACTGTTGTCCAGGTGACACAGATCAGTTTCCCGGGATAAAATGGCTGTTTTGGAGGGTTGAGTCTATGGCATCATACCCTGCTGATGCTGCTTGCCACCCGAAGCCTCACTGTCCCAAGGCTCCACCCCCGAATCTCCAGGAATTTCCCAACCTGGAGCTGGCAGTCCTAAGGTGAATTGATCTCTGTAGCTGGGAGATTAGTTGTGATTCCCAGACCGCTGCCACTGCTGCTGTGGGGGGAGAGGAAGCAGGTGGGTGGCTAGGAGCACTGCTACCACTGCTGCTGCTGCTCTGCGGAGTGTGGGATGAAGCAGAAGGAGGCTGGGAGACTGATGGGAGCAGAAAGAAAGAATGATGGGGTGGGGGCAGAAAGAGAGAAAGAGTGATAAAGTGGAGAGGCAGAAAAACAAAGAGAAAGATGACAGGTAGGAAAGAGAGACGAAGTCACATGCATGGAGGAGAAATAGAGAGTAAGAAAAGGGGGGCAGAGGGGAGAAATAGTGTGAGAGAGGTAGGGGCGAGGAGAGGAAGCAAAGGTGTGATGAATGAGATAACCATCCCGCAAGTTTCTTGCGGGTCTCTACTTGTCTATATACTAATAGCCAAGGTGTCCCCTGCGTGCGGATATCTAAATCCACACATCGGGGGCACCTAGGGGGCAAAGAGATTTTCCTGCACATTTGGGGCAATCCCCAGGTGTGCAAAAAAATCTAAAAAGTTTTTAAAACTTTAAAAAACTTAAATCCCCCCAAAAGTAAATGGGCGTTCCCTGTGCATGCGTAGAGAATGCCCTGGCAACTGTCTCACTGCCGCCACCACCGGGGGGGGGGAGAACGCTTGGCGGGCTGGCGGCTGTGAGCCATTAAGGCCTTGCTGCCGCTGCCACTGGGAGGGGGGTGGAGGGAGAAAACTTGGTGGCTGGCCTTGCCGCCGCTGGGGGGAAAGGGAAGGGGGAAGAAAACTTGGTGGGCTGGCGGCTGTGAGCTGTTCAGGCCTCACTGCCACTTGGGGGGTGGAGGGAGAAAGCTTGGCGGGCCGCCCTCAATGCCGCCGCTACCGCTGGGGGGTGGGGGAGGGAAAAGGCTGGGCTCACCTGCTGCTGGTTCTCCTGCTTCTGCATGCGGGGAGCTGTGGGGAACACTCCCCCTCCCTGCAAGTATCGCGGGTCCCTCTTCTTGTATTAACTATGTAACCATGTTAACGTATTGAAAGTGGGGGAAGGGAAGAATATCAGCCCCTCACTCCCCGTGCTAAATGTATAAACCTGACAAATTCCTTCCTGGCTCTGAAATCAATGACAAAGTAGAGACCAGAGTAGCAAACTAAAAGCATATCACATTGAGTGGGAGTAGGGATGCCAATCTCGGGGGGAGGGGGGGCTGGAGATATGGAATGATAACTGATCTTTGGACTACAGAGATCAGTTCCTCTGGAAAAGATGGCTGCTGTGTGGAGGGTGGACTCTACGGCATTATACCTTGCTGAGGTCTTGCCCCTCCCCAACCCCAAATCTCTAGGGATTTCCCAATCAGGAGTTGACAACCCAAAGTGGAGGAGCCGGAAGTCTTACTGACTGAACAGGAAATAGAAGGTGGGCAGATTTCTTCACCCTCTCTCTTTGTTTCAATAATAGCTAAGCAACAGTGTGAGGAGTTTCACTTAGAAGCCTGCTACTGTATAAGTGTCTGCTGTAACTCCACTGATTGTAAAACAGCCTTGTCAATTACATCTTCTACTGACCTGTTTTGTGACCTTTACTAGGTTCCCAGGACCAAGTTCCTTGGCAGCCATTTTAGCCAGGCTAGCCTTGCTTTCAGTAGCAGACAAAATCTTCTACCTCTTATCTGACGATGATAATTATGTCACCTATATGGTAGAACAAAGTTTGCGTCCAGTGGCACCTTTAAGTCCAACAAAGTTTAATTTTTTTTTTGGTCTTAAAGGTGACACTGGACTCAAACTTTGTTCTATTGCTTCAAACCAGCATGGCTATCCACCTGAATCACCTATGTGATGTCACTGTATGCACCGGTGGCCAAGAAGATTTGTGCAAAACTTCCACCTTGATGTTCAACATGCTGTATTCTCTGCTGTGTCCTGATCCTGACAATTTTAACATTGTTTTTAACCTTGTTGTGTTTTTACTGTAATATTTATTATTGCTCAGGCAGGTATCATTATATTGCTATGGCCTTTGGGCTCTTGGAATAAAATTCTGTCTACCTACCAACCTACCACCAAATCTGTTACAACAGAAAATGTAACCTTTTTTCCTTTTAAGAATCTAATTTAACTTGGAGGTTGGTGGTATTGCTGCTAGAAATGGGGGCTGTGGGAGAGTGAGGGTGAGTACAGTAGCTGCAAGAAAGACCCATGTTGACTGCATATGCATAGTCATAATGGGACATTTTGTAGCTGCTCAAATGCAGATTAACTGCCTGTAGAAAGTGAGTCAGACTGAATGA